GCTGACTTTTCATTGTTATTAGATACAAACTTGATTCTTCCTTCTACTCCAGTAGTTATAGGACTCATCGATTCCATATATATTGCTGTTGCATTGAAATCTTCAATATCTAATTCTTTGTATTTCTCTAATCTGTTTTTAAATGACTTAAAATTATCACCACCGTCGGCTATATAACTGTTCATTATTATTGTATAGTTTGCAGTTAACTGTAAAGGTTCAAATTTAGGAACGTTACAATCACTGCATCGGATTAATAATGAAGAGACTCGGTGACCAGGACTGTTTGCTAAATTATACTCAATTAAAACGCCAGATACTTGTAAAAATTTAGATCCGCCTCGATGCTCTACAAAGTCGTAAACACTATGTTCAAATGCTTCTAATAAGCTACTTCCAGAAATAGTAACTTTAACCAGTTTGTTTTGGAATGGCATGACATTGATTAACTGCCCTAAAGTGATGTAACCATCGTGATCAGTTTCGTTGAGTGTAGTCCGAATACCACCACATTGAACGATTCCAATAGGAGCATCAGTCCAATAACCATTGTAATTTTCTTTTTTCATAATATTGTAGTATACGAAAGAATCAGCTATCAGGTTACCTATATTGCATTCCATTTCGTGACAATTGTTTATCAACTCGACAGCCGTACGTCCGATCGTAACGTTTGTAATGCTAGTTACTTGTGGTTTCCATTTATCGACCACAGTCAACATTTCTGGATCTACATCATTTTAGAGTATTTTATTTTAAGGTTAAACTCAAACAATTTTTTTTTAGCATGTAGTATGTATAAAAATAAATTTAATTATAACCTTGTTTTATATCATGATTCAATAATGTCGGTGAACCATTGATACTAACTAAGTCACCATTAGAATCAAATTTTAAAACAACTTTGCCCGCGTATTTAGTATTTGCGTATGCCTGTAAAATTGGTACAGCTTTATTTTTAATATTTGTTACGTACAGTGGATACGGTCCATATGGTTTTTCAATGCTGGGTGGAGTACCAGAGTACAAAAACGTATGTGAATGCCCTCCAACAATTATATCAATATCCTCTACCTCTTTAGCAATTATTTTATCTTTTTCAATGCCACTATGTCCGAGACCAATAATTATGTTAACGCCATTGTCTCGTAATTTTTTAGTTTCTTTTTTCAAAGATTCAATTTCTTCAAAAAATTCAACTTTTCCAGTGTTAGATATGGTCGGAGTGTCTGTTGTTAAATATCCAACGATTCCTA